TAAGCATCATTTATATATCCTAGATGACAAGAATTACAAAGTGTTTGTGAGGGGATTAGAGAAATACATATGAGCAAATCTATTATTAGCATAACAACATATTACAATATTGAGACTACAGATAAAAATTCACATCGTAGAAAGTTAAAGTACTTTCTAGTTTCAAATAAATAGTAATAAGACAATATAAAGTTTACGTAAATAAGTCATTCTAACAGTAATTCTTACTTGAAGTCGATAATGATCATTTTCTTTTTTTAATTGGTCCATTCTATTATCTGTCTGATGTACAATAGCTTTCATCCTATTATATTCATCAGTCATTTTCTCCATTTCTTGTACGGACTCTTCTAGATTTTTTCTCATTTCTTCATTTTGAACTTCAATTCTCTCATTAGCTTCTGTTAAAGTCTAAACCAGTTAAAGACATTAGGTTAAAAAATAATTTTTTTAAGAAACTGAAATTTAAACTAAATTAAAACTAAATGGAGCCATAAGTGTCCACTGAAAAAAAGAATTCTTTATAGACCTTTACTCTAAACTGGTGTTGACCAATTAATTCAAAGTAAATATCAAGAAAATTGTACATAAGGCCCTCAATTGTTTTTTATGCCCAATATAGGCACATATAAAAAGAATGACTAAAAAATTGTAACTTCAAAGATGCAATGTATATCATGTTTTACAAATACACAGTTGCAGATTTACACTAAAGAATTTACATGTAGCATTAAATATTTGATTTACACTATAATGAAATTCAAGTTTTGTAAGAATCATTGTTCTGAACCGATTTCTATTCATTTTACCTGAATTTCATCTAGATATTGGACAAGTTCATAGTTTTTTTTAGACAATTGTGATCGGTAGTCACTGTCTTCTCCTCTTCTTGATAAAAGTGCTTCTTTTTGTGAATCTATTTGTTTCTGGTAGTCCATAATATCCTGACGAAGCTGTTCATTCTGAAGGTAGACCAAAGACAACATTCTATTAAGAAATTATTCATTCATTGTCAAGAAACAAAATTACATTTTCTAAACAGTGCTCTCAGAATATAGCCTTAAATTCCCAAGGTTTCACCACCCTGAAAGCCTCACCTTTTTCTTTAGACGTTTGTTCTCCATAAAGGACAGGAAAAAGGTAATTAGAAATGAGAAAAGCAATACATAATTAAAAATAATAATTAGAAATTAAAGAAAGCAAAAAAGAAATGTTAGGAAAATGAGGTATATTATTTTGGATAACTAAAGAAAGTAACAATGTTAATTATCAACCAAAACAAAGAACATTTTGATTAAGTTAGAAACTTAAGAACTCTTATCAGAATAAACCATGTACAAACATTATGTGGCTCAGAAGAACCAAATAATAATCAGAATTTATGAAATTTCATGAGT